TCTTTCTTTCTTTCTTTCTTTCTTTCTTTCTTTCTTTCTTTCTTCCTATTTCTACTAATTATTTCTCTCTACCTTTCTCCCTTTTATTCTGAGCAGTGTGGATGAAAGACTCTTGGTGCTGCAGCCAAGAGTCAGTGCTGTGCCTCTCAACTCCAGATATTATCAAATGGTGAAAATCTCCCAGAGATCTCCATCTCAACGTCAGCACCCAGGTTCACTCAACGACCAGCAAGAAACAGTGCTGGACACCCTATGCCAAACAACTAGGAAAACAGGAACACAATCCCACCCATTCACAGAGAGACTGCATAAAATTCTAATAAGTCCACAGACCCCCCAAAACACACCACCAGACGTGGACCTGCCCACCAGAGAGACAAGATCCAGCCTCAACCACCAGAACACAGGCACTAGTCCCCTCTACCAGGAAGCCTACACAACCCAATGAACCAACCTTAGCCACTGGGGACAGACACCAAAAACAACGGGAACTACGAACCTGCAGCCTGCAAAAAGGAGACCTCAAACACAGTAAGATAAGCAAAATGAGAACAGAAAAACACACCACAGATGAAGGAGCAAGATAAAAACCCACCAGACCTAAGAAATGAAGAGGAAATAGTCAGTCTACCTGAAAAAGAATTCAGAATAATGATAGTAAAGATGATCCAAAATCTTATAAATAGAATAGACAAAATGCAAGAAACATCTAACAAGGACCTAGAAGAACTAAAGATGAAACAAACAACAATGAACAACACAATAAATGAAATTAAAAATACTCTAGATGGGATCAATAGCAGAATAACTGAGGCAGAAGAACGGATAAGTGACCTAGAAGATAAAATAGAGGAAATAATTACTGCAGAGAAGAATAAAGAAAAAAGAATGAAAAGAACTGAGGACAGTCTCAGAGACCTCTGGGACAACATTAAATGCACCAACATTCGAATTATAGGGATTCCAGAAGAAGAAGAGAAAAAGAAAGGGACTGAAAAAATATTTGAAGAGATTATAGTTGAAAACTTCCCTAATATGGGAAAGTAAATAGTTAATCAAGTGCAGGAAGCACAGAGAGTCCCATACAGGATAAATCCAAGGAGAAATATGCCAAGACACATATGAATCAAACTGTCAAAAATTAAATACAAAGAAAGCATTTTAAAAGCAGCAAGGGAAAAACAGCAAATAACACACAAGGGAATCCCCATAAGGTTAACAGCTGATCTTTCAGCAGGAACACTGCAAGCCAGAAGGGAGTAGCAGGACATATTTAAAGTGATGAAGGAGAAAAACCTGCAACCAAGATTATTCTACCCAGCAAGGTACTCATTGAGATTTGATGGAGAAATTAAAACCTTTACAGACAAGCAAAAGCTGAGAGAGTTCAGCACCACCAAACAAGCTTTACAACAAATGCTAAAGGAACTTCTCTAGGCAAGAAACACAAGAGAAGAAAAAGATATACAGTAACGAACAGAAAACAATTTAAAAAATGGGAATAGGAACATACATATTGATAATTACCTTAAATGTAAATGGACTAAATTCTCCCACCAAAAGACATAGATTGGCTGAATGGATACCAAAACAAGAACCATATATATGCTGTCTACAAGAGACCCACTTCAGACCTAGAGACACATATAGACTGAAAGTAAGGTGATGTAAAAAGATATTTCATGCAAATGGAAAACAAAAGAAAGCTGGAGTAGCAATTCTCATATCAGAAAAATAGACTTTAAAATAAAGACTATTACAAGAGACAAAAAAGGACACTACATAATGATCAAGGGATCAATCCAAGAAGAAGATATAACAATTATAAATATTTATGCACCCAACATAGGAGCACCTCAATACAAAAGGCAAATATTAACAGCCATAAAAGGGGAAATCGACAGTAACACATTCATAGTTGGGGACTTTAACACCCCACATTCACCAATGGACAGGTCATCCAAAATGAAAATAAATAAGGAAACACAAGCTTTAAATGATACATTAAACAAGATGAACTTAATTGATATTTATAGGACACTCCATCCAAAAACAACAGAATACACATTCTTCTCAAGTGCTTATGGAACATTCTCCATGATAGATCATATCTTGGGTCAGAAATCAAGCCTTGGTATATTTAAGAAAATTGAAATTATATCAAGTATCTTTTCTGACCACAATGCTAAGAGACTAGATATCAGTTACAGGAAAAGATCTGTAAAAAATACAAACACATGAAGGCTGAACAATACAGTACTTAGTAACACAGTGATCACTGAAGAATTCAAAGAGGAAATCAAAAAATACCTAGAAACAAGTAACAATGGAGACACAATGACCTAAAACCAATGGGATGCAGAAAAAGCAGTTCTCAAAGGGAAGTTTAGAGCAACACAATCCTACCTTAAGAAACAGGAAACATCTCGAATAAACAACCTAACCTTGCACCTAAAGCAATTACAGAAAGAAGAACAAAGAAACCAAAAGTTAGCAGAGGGAAAGAAATCATAAAAATCAGATCAGAAGTAAATGAAAAAGAAATGAAGGAAACAATAGCAAAGACCAATAAAACTAAAAGGTGGTTCCTTGAGAAGATAAACCAAATTGATAAACCATTAACCAGACTCATCAAGAAAAAAAGGGAGAAGACTCAAATCAATAGAATTAGAAATGAAAAAGGAGAAGTAACAACTGACACTGCAGAAATACAAAGGATCATGAGAGATTACTACAAGCAACTCCAAGCCAATAAAATGGACAACCTGGAGGAAATGGACAAATTCTTAGAAATGCACAACTGCCAAGACTGAATCAGGAAGAAATAGAAAATATGAACAGACCAATTACAAGCACTGAAATTGAAACTGTGATTAAAAATCTTCCAACAAACAAAAGCTCAAGACCAGATGGCTTCACACACGAATTCTAGCAAACATTTAGAGAAGAGCTAACACCTATCCTTCTCAAACTCTTCCAAAATATAGCAGAGGGAGGAACACTCCCAAATTCATTCTATGAGGCCACCATCACCTTGATACCAAAACCAGACAAGGATGTCACAAAGAAAGTAAACTACAGGCCAATATCACTGATGAATATAGATGCAAAAATCCTCAACAAAATACTAGCAAACAGAATCCAACAGCACATTAAAAGGATCATACACCATGATCAAGTGGGGTTTATTCCAGGAATGCAAGGAGTCTTCAATATATGCAAATCAATCAATGTGATAGAGCATATTAACAAATTGAAGGAGAAAAAACATATGATCATCTCAGTAGATGCAGAGAAAGTTTTTGAAAAACTTCAAAACCCATTTATGATAAAAGCCCTGCAGAAAGTAGGCATAGAGGGAACTTTCCTTAACGTATTAAAGGCCACATATGACAAACCCACAGCCAACATTGTTCTCAATGGTGAAACACTGAAAGTATTTCCACTAAGATCAGGAACAAGACAAGGTTGCCCACTCTCAGCACTCTTATTCAACATAGTTTTGGAAGTTTTAGCCACAGCTATCAGAGAAGAAAAGGAAATAAAAGGAATCCAAATTGGAAAAGAAGTAAAGCTCTCACTGTTTGCAGATGACATGATACTATACATAGAGTATCCTAAAGATGCTACCAGAAAACTGCTAGAGCTAATCAATGAATTTGGTAAAGTTGCAGGATACAAAATTAATGCACAGAAATCTATGGCTTTCCTATAGACTAATGATGAAAAATCTGAAAGTGAAATCAAGAAAACACTCCCATTTACCATTGCAACAAAAAGAATAAAATATCTAGGAATAAACCTACCTACAGAGACAAAAGACCTGTATGCAGAAAATTATAAGACACCAATGAAAAAATTAAAGATGATACAATTACATGGAGAGATATACTATGTTCTTGGATTGGAAGAATCAACATTGTGAAAATGACTCTACTACCCAAAGCCATCTATAGATTCAATGCAATCCCTATCAAACTACCAATGGCATTTTTCACAGAACTAGAACAAAAAATTTCAAAGTTTGTATGGAAACACAAAAGACCCCGAATAGCCAAAACAATCTTGAGAACGAAAAATGGAGCTGGAGGAATCAGGCTCCCTGACTTCAGCCTATACTACAATGCTACAGTAATCAAGACAGTATCGTACTAGCACAAAACTAGAAATATAGATCAATAGAATCGGATTGAAAGCACAGAAATAAAGACAAACTCGTATGGTTAACTAATCTGTGACAAAGACGGCAAGGATATACAATGGAGAAAAGCCAGCCTCTTCAATAAATAGGACAGCTACATTTAGGAGAATGAGATTAGAACACAACCTAACACCATACACAAAAATAAACTGAAAATGGATTAAAGATCTAAATGTAAGGCCAGACACTATAAAACTCTTAGAGGAAAACATAGGAAGAACACTCTTTGACATAAACCACAGCAAGATCTTTTTTGACCCACCTCCTAGAGTAATGGAAATAAAAACAAAAAAAAACAAATGGGACTTAAGGAAACTTAAAAGCTTTTGCACAACAAAGGAAATCATAACCAAGATGAAAAGACAAACCTTAGGATGGGAGAAAATATTTGCAAAGGAATCAACAGTCAAAGGATTAATCTCCAAAATATATAAACAGGCCATGCAGCTCAATATCAAAACAACAAATAACCCAATCAAAAACTGATCAGAAGACCTAGATAGACATTTCTCGAAAGAAGACATACAGATGCCAAGAGACACATGAAAAGCTGCTCAACATCACTAATTATTAGAGAAATACAAATCAAAACTACTATGAGATATGACCTCACACCAGTCTGAATGGCCATCATAAAAAAAATCTACAAGCAATAAATGCTGGAGAGGGTGGGGAGGAAAGGGCTCCCTCTTGCACTGTTTGTGGGCATGTAACCTGATACAGCTACTATGGAGAACAGTATGGAGGTTCCTTACATAAACTAAAAATAGAACTACCCTATGACCCAGCAATCCCACTACTGTGCACATACCCTGAGAATACCATAATTCAAAAAGGCACAGGCACTCCAATGTTTATTGCAGCACTATTTACAATAGCTAAGTCATGGAATCAACCTCTATGTCCATTGACAGATGAATGGATAAAGAGGATATGGTACATATATACAATGCAATATTACTCAGCCATAAAAAAGAACAAAATTGGGTCATTTGTAGAGAAGTGGATGGACTTAGAGACTGTCATACAGAGTGAAGTAAGAAAGAGAAAAATAAATATTGTATATTAACACATACTGTGGAATCTAGAAAAATGTTTTGCAAGGCAGAAACAGAGACACAGATGTAGAGAACAAATGTATGGACACCAAGGGGAAAAGCAGGGGGTGGGGAGTGGGGGGTGAATTGGGAGATTGGGATTGACATATATACACTAACATGTATAAAATAGATAACTAATAAGAACCTGCTGTATAGCATAGGTAACTCTATTTCACTTAGCCGTACAGTAGAAACTAACACAACATTGTAAAACAACTATATCCCAATGAAAGAAAGAAAATGTACTGAAAAAGAAGTTACAACTGACACCACAGAAATACAAAGCATCTTAAGAGACTACCACAAGCAACTATACACAAATAAAATGGGCAATCTAGAAGAAATAGATAATTTCTTACAAGGGTACAATCTCCCAAGGATGAATCAGGAAGAGATATAAAATATTAATAGAACAATTATAATTACTGAAATTGAATGTGTAATTTAAAAAACCCCAACAAAAAAGTCCATGATCAAATGATTTCACAGGTAAATTCTACCAAAAGTTTAGAGTAATCACCTATCCATCTGAAACCATTCTAAAAAAATTTCAGAGAAAAGAACACTTCTGAACTCTTTGTGTGAGACCACCATCACTCTGATAATGAAAGCAGACCATGATATCACAAAAAGGAAAATTGTACGCCAATAACATTGCTGAACATAGATGCAAAAACCTTCAAAAAAATATTAACAAACCGAAGCTAACAATATATTTAAAAGATCATACACCACAATCAAGTGAGATTTATCCCAGGAATGTAAGAATTTTTCAATATCCACAAATCAATTCGTATGATATATCACATTAAAAAATTGAAGAATAAAAAACATGATCATCTCAATACATCAAGTCCCTTACATACGAAACTTCATGTGAACTTTCAAAGATGTGAACATGCATTCACATGTCCAATCATGGAAGCTAGTTCACATGTCTGGTGTACATTGTCATGTGCGTGCATCCTCTACAAGTAGTTGTGCTTTAGTGTACTTTACTGTACAGTATTGTATAGAGTACAGTAGTACAATATCTTTATTATAAGCCCAGGATGTTCAGAAGCAAGCATAAAGTAGCAGTGATGTAGCTGGTACTGCTAAGGAGCACCAGCTGTTGTACTGTACTACTGTACTTTTTGAGGTACTGTACTCAGTATGATGTATGATGAAAATATTTTCTTTATTTTTTGTGTTTGTTTTTTATTTATTTGTTTTATGTATTATTTGAAAAGTATTATAAACCTATTACAGTACTATATAGCCAATTATGTTAGTTGGGTACCTAGGATAACTTTGTCAGACTTAAGAACAAATTGGACTTATGATGTGCTCTCAGAATGGAATTCGTTTGTATGTAGGGGACTTACTCTATATCATCTAATATGATCATCTCAATAAAAACCATATGATCATTTTGATAAAATTCAACATCCACTTAAGATAAAATCTCTTAAGAAAGTGGGCATACAGGGAATATACCTCAACATAATAAAGGCCATATATGACAAGCTGATAGTTAACATCACACTCAGTAGTGAAAAGCTGAAGGCATTACCTCTAAGATCAGGTATAAGACAAGGATGCCCACTCTTGCTACTTTAAGGCAACATGGTATTGGAAGTTCTAGCCACAGCAATCAGAGAGGAAACAGAAATAAAATGAATCTAAATTGGAAAAGAAGTAAAACTGTCACTATTTACAGATGACATGATACTATATGGAGAAAATGATAAAGATGCTACTAGAAAACTACTAGAGCTCATCAATTAATTTGGTAAAGTCACAATATACAAAGTTAATAGACAGAAATCCATTGCATTTCTAAACACTGACAATGAAATATCAAAAAGAGAAATTAAGGAAACAATCCCATTTAGCATCACATCATAAAGAATAAAATGCCTAGGAATAAATCAATTTAAGGAGGCAAAAGACCTATATTCTGGAAACTATAAGATGCTGTTGAAACTAGTTGAAGACGACACAAACAGATGGAAGGATATACTATGTTCTTGGACTGGAAGAATCAATATTGTTAAAATAACCATACCCAAGGCAATCTACAGATTCAATGCAATGTCTATCAAATTACCAATGTCATTTCTCACAGAGCCAGAACAAAAGATTTTTAAATTTATTTAGAAACACAAAAAAACACTGGATAGTCAAAACAATCTTGAGAAAGAAGAACAGAGCTGGAGGAATCAGGCTCCCTAACTTCAGACTATACCTCAAAGCTACAGTAACCAAACAATGTGTTGCTGGAAGAAGAGTAGACACATAGATTAATGGAACAGGATAGAAAGCCCCAAAATAAACTGGCACACCTATGATGAATTAATCTATGACAAAGGAGGCTAGCATATACAGTGGAGAAAAAGATTATTTCTTTAATAATTGGTGCTGGTAAAACTGGACAGCAAATGTAAAACAGTGATGTTGGAACATTCCCTCACACTGTATACAAAAAAAAAAAAAAAAAAAAAAAAAAAAAAAAACTCCAAATAGATTAAAGACCTAAATATAAGACTGGATGCTCTAAAACTC